ACTACATCTTATCTCATCATTCAGTATCATGATAGTAAATCAGGGGCAAATAAATTCAGAAATGATAAAAAAAAAAAAAAAGAAATAGCATTCATATTTTAACACACAATCCACATAAATCCACAATAATCCACAAACTGAATTTAAAACACGTTTAGAGGGATGGTTTCAGTTGACTAAAGATTTAAATAGCAGCATGTTACTGCAAACTATTCTGAGAAAGAATATTACTTTCTTGCATTATAAGGTGTTCATGTTACTCACCACTGATTTAAAGTCAGCTCTAGAGTCAGAACTGCCTTTATTTAGCCTCATCAGTGTTTCACAGGTAATTGGGCAAGCATTGTTGTGTGATCATGTGAGACCATCAGAGAAGTATCGGTCATGCATTCTCCACATTCCTGTGGAATGAGATGCAGAGGAATGACAAGAGTCCGAAAGTGGAGCACTTGATATTGACTATTGGGGATTAGGTTATATTAGATGAACAGATTACCATCCGTTTGACTCACTCTAAGTACTTTGTTGTCGTTGTCTGTTTACTTCCTACAGGTTGACTCACAAATAAAGGGTATTCATGTATTGAATATTCTTTTAGAGATGATCTCTATGTGATTGGCTTTGATTATTGTCATCTCATTTTTTAAATTATTGTCAACTGTCTGGCTTCCGTATTGTGTAAACTAAATTTATTGAATTCCTGACTAAACATGATCTTAACCAGTTCTTTTTGCCATGAACAGATACTGTGTTGTGCTTAAGCTGCTCTATAACCAGTACAAGAAAGTCAGCAGTTGCAGGTATCCCTGACAATTCGCATAACATCTTATAATGTCATAAAATCAGATGTAAGCAAACAGCTCAGTTTAATGATGCGTTATCAATTTTTCCATCTTATCCTTATAACAATGTAACCAAAACTAGAGTGGCAAATCACAGTAAAAGTAAATGGTAGCCTACCTCATGATTTTATTGTTGCCATTGTTTGTTTGTCTAATGCTAACCAGTAACAAACTTTTTTTAAAGACGTTTAAAGACTCAAATAAAGAAGCCCTAGCTTAATTCATGCATATAATATCTTACAGATCAGTTATACATATAATAATAATGACAATAACCCTCATTCAAAAATGAGATGCTAATTAGATATACACAGAAAACCATTCAAGTGTTAGCCTTCTCTAAGGCTATAATGTTTGCTTTGGCACTGTTTTTGTAGCTTTATCATGTGCACAAGACTGTACCGACATTTAAAAGATATTGACATCTTCAGACAACTTTCTGAAGGCATGTGTACTGACTATGGTAGTTTCAAGTGTGAAGATAAAATGTTAGTGAAATGCCCAATTGTAAGTAAGTGTTGGTATTTTCTGAAATTCCAGGAAGTAATAATACTACACTCTAAAAAATGCTGGGTTAAATATAATCCAGCGTTGGGTTAAAAAGGGACAAACCCAGATATTGGGTTGTTTTGACCCAGCGGTTGGGTTGTTTTGAACCCAACCGCTAGGTCAAAACAACCCAATAGCTGGGTTTGTCCCTTTTTAACCCAGCGCTGGGTTATATTTAACCCAGAATTTTTTAGAGTGTAACCAATCAGATTATATAAAAGTATGCAACATGCTGGGAAACGATTGGGGAAGATTGAACAACAGAGAAAGAAAAAAAGAGGATGGGCAAATGAAGAGAATGGAAATGTTATACTATGAATATGCTTTCCTTCATCCCAACCCTCCGCCTCCCCCGTCTCTGGCACTCCCTCAAGGCCATGTTATTGTTCCTGCCTATCAGTGTCATTTCCATAGCGAGTGCTGAAAGAGAGTGGATAAATTGAGGCAGGTGAGAGTGGACACGAAGAGTGGACACGAGACACTGAGAAGGAGCGCGACAGGCACCGGCAGCCCACCTGCATTCAGCTCCACTTTTAACAGACTCCTAAGAGGAGGACATTACATTATCAAAAGGATTGCTGACAGCTCCAGAGCTGATAATGCATTTGTGTCCTTAGGGAGGCAAAGTGATGAGAAGATAAAAGAGGAATCATTGGAACAAGGATAACACTAGAGCTCAAGTTATCAGAACAGGTAAGAACATGTACAATATTGTCTGCCACATGTGGCGGTACTTCGGCTGATATACAGAAGGGCAGCCGTTTGGAAATAGAACTGAAGTGAAGAAAAACTGGATGGGTTACTCAATGCCCCAAGGGACGTTAACTTTAACTGCCTATATTGTGTGATTCTAATCTTGTTTGAGAAGACTGGAGAATAACATAGAGTAAGATATACAATATTGGAGAGTAAAGTGAAGTTACTGCAAGTCAAAGTGGAGCACACAAAGTGTTCTCAGAGGTCTGATAAAACTTTTAGAGTTTACATTCCACATATGCATAACAATACAATACTAATAAAAAAAATCTGATCATAAAACCAGACTAAAAAAAGAAAGAAAAAAAAATAGGTTGAGAAAATAAAACACTAAAAAATAAAAATAAATAAGAAAAATAAAATTGCTTTAAATACTACAAGGGAATTTAAGAATCTCAACATTATAATGTACATTATGGAAAATGGATATTTATTTTGATTTTTGCTCAAAACAGTGTAATTCTTATTAAATTATTAGCGTTTTTAAAGTGCATGAACAATTACATATCCAATATAGACTAATAAAGATCAATTTTAAAAATTACATATTAAAATTAGACTAATAACTAATAAGGTAGCAATAAATTGTACTTAGTTTAAGGATTTTAAGACAAAGTACAATGCGCATACCAATGGATAAAATATGCATTTAGAATTTGAAATTCTCAGGGTATTTTCATTGTTGATGTCAAAACAGTCATGCACACAAATTGCCCAAACTAAATAAACTGACAGAATGCTGGTGAAGCCATTTATATGCAAATGAAATTAGGGAGACCAAAATCTAGGGGTCAACAGGGCTTCACCTAAACCGTTTATGACCTTTCCCAGATAAAAGCACATAATCTGTGCATTAGCTAACTGCAGTTTTGTCCTTGGGCTTCAACCTAGACATTATATCAAAGTAGTGGAGCTACTTTCAAACCCTTCCCTAATGGTTCTTGTTATCAAACGGGATCTGTAGATTTGAGAGCGTCATGTGAAAGTTCAAGCATCGGGGCCCGTTGCACACAGGGAAGGAGAATCAGGTCAAGAACATTGTCAACCCTTAGTGTGTTTGCCTGGGGAACAACAGAGGCGATTGAGTCAATGAATAACAAAGAACTCGTGCACTAATGGTGGTCAAACAGTTTTACGTTGAGGTGTAGGTCATGAAAGGAGATAGACAGAAATGACTCGGACCGCAGGTGTTCTTGAGGCCATGGTTTTTAGTCTGGGGGTTTTACACAGTGCTGAGAGACTGGCTGCCTGGGCACCGGCCTGTTCTCCAGGAATGCCAAAGCCAGACCAATATAATGGAGAACAAACAGGAGCATTGTGCAGTGCAAGGATGGAGAAAGAAACACACACATGCACACACATACACATAGGTCTGCCCTGCAGGACTTGTGAACAGGCCATCTGCTCTCAACCAAACCCCCACCTGAACCTGTGCAGGTACAAAACCACTTAAAAGAAGGGCTAGATTAGATGCACATATTATTTAGCTCAGGATGGGCTGTGCAAAATACTTCACTGTATTATACAATGTAGTGAGCTTTAGAGTCACCTTGTTGATAAAATTCTTCTCAGCTCCAAATGCCAGGACCAGTGGAGCGATGACTTTTAGAGAGCCTTATTGTGCTGAAAGGGTTTCTGAAGGACAGTAGTGCTGACGTTGGCAGAACAAGGACAACAAAGCAGTCTGTGTATTACCAACATTGTAAGCACGGGTGTTTCATGCGGTCTTGTCCTTTACTAAACTTCTGTACATCCTTAAAAATAGATCATAATTAGAACCAAAACCTTTTTACAACTTAATGCCACAGAACCTTATAAACTTTTTATTCTCTAGTTATTCTGAAAACCAAGAACTTTTGGACACTATAAATGAGCGAAGACATGGGGCCTCATTTATAAAATACTGCGTAGAAAGAATCCTAAATTTGATTTTACGATCATTTCTCAAAGTGCGTACGTGTGATTCATAGAACGAACGTACGCACAGAAAACGTGTCTAATGTCTAATGTCTAAATGTCTAATTAATGTCCTTGACTTATAAAAGAGCACCTGACAATGTCCAAATCTTTTACAAGCGGCAAGAAGGACTTATATTTTCAAAAACCTGTAGCACTCGGGCAAACAAAAGTGCGTACGTCTGCTCAGACCCTGACGTGGCGCTAAGCTCTTTTCTACGTCAAAGACCGTTTTTATAAATATGAACGTTGCCGTGGATTTTTGCGTGCGCACACTCTACGATCAAATCTGTGCGTACGCACGTTTTATAAATGAGGCCCATGGTTCTTAATAAGAAGTTCTTAAAACCATCATTTTTCTTTGTGAAGCACATTTTATTAACCTAAAGAAACTCTTTCCACAATAACCTTGTTCAACAACAAAGGTTCTTCATAGTACCATTGATGCACGTAAAGAACCTTTATTTTTAGTGTATACAGAGAAAAATGGTTCTTTGCTGAACCTAAAGTTAAGCAAAGAACCACTGAAAAACCTTTTTAAGAACTTTTTATTGTATACATCTTTAGAAAACACCATGTACCGGTGCATCAACCCAGAAACCAATATATTTATCTGAAAAACTATCAAGAACTGTAATCTCCAAAGCAGTAAAAAAAAAAATTAAATGCTTCAAAGAACCATTGAAAAAAAAAAAACTTTAATAGTGTATGGTCTAAAGCAGGGGTGTCAAACTCAATTCCTGGAGGGCCGGAGCCCTGCAGAGTTTAGATTCAACCCTAATTAAACACACCTGATCCAACTAATCAAGTCCTTCAGCCTTATTTGAAGGCTGACATATGACACGGCATATGTGTTGCAGCAGGTTTGGAACAAAACTCTGCAGGGCTCCGGCCCTCCAGGAACTGAGTTTGACACCCCTGGTCTAAAGCAAGGTAACGCAGGTGGGCAAATGGTTTGAAACAAAACAATGCAATACAATTTGTAACAGTGAATGCACAGAAACAAGTTCTTTGTAGAACTGATGACCAACTCAAAGTAACAGTTAATTTGTTTAAAGGGCATCATACAAAGGCATGATGATGACTTTGAATCTATCTTCTTGCTTGGGTTTCTTGTTCAGTGTACCATTTCTGTTTGCACTGTAATGTCCATATAAATGTGTATTTATTCTCAGTGCTGTCCACATGCATCATAAATCACCTGGCGGTAAATGTAAGCTGTGCCCTAGTTTTGGTTTAGAGCCTATGGAATGAACCTAGAGGTGATTTTGAGAGGTTTGTCTCGCTTGTTCCAGTGAATCCTCACGAGTAAGAGAGTGGAAGACCATATTCCAGTGAGATGGAGCCGAACCCTGCGGTGTGGCACACCCAGGTGGTCCCGCTGGAAACAGACCTGGAGAGGGTGAGCTCTCATCCTGAGTGCTCCATCTGCTTCAACACCTACGACAACGTCTTCAAAACGCCAAAACAGTTGGACTGCACTCACACCTTCTGCCTCGAGTGCCTTTCCCGCATTATGACCACCTCCATGGACCCCCAAAACTCTAAAATCTCCTGCCCCTTCTGCCGCCAGCCCACTACCATCCCAAAAAAGGGGCCTCCGGCTTTGACCACCAGCCAGGAGGTGCTGTGTAGTCTGCCCGTCCACCAGCAGCAAGAGGAGCAGGTGTGGCTGGACGGGGAGAGGCTGTGCTACCAGCGGCCAATAGACATTCCAGGTGTGCCAGCGTTCTGCATCTGTGTCGATATTGGGGCCAGTGGACAAAGCACTGTATCTTCTTCCCAAACTCGACCGCGACTTGGGCTTCTGGAACGACTGATGGATTGGAAGCGTTTGCTGCTATTTATATTCCTCATGGTGCTGCTGTTGGGGATTGTTCTGTGGCCCCTGCAGTGCATCGTCACGACGGGCTCAATGCGTTGTGCGTCCCAGAACTTGCAGATGTCTACTACCACACCTTCTACTACCACAGTCAACGTATAAGTAAGATAGACATGTCTCGATTGTTACTGGACTTGCTAAATCAAGATGACCGGTGTGAGTTTACAGTACATCCATACCTCCTTGCAAAGCCTGCTGGGTGCTCAAGGAGTTAAGGCAAGCAGCAGGACTGTGGTAAAGACTGAAGAGCTGTATCGGAATCATTATGTCACCTTACAGCACGTGGACAAGTGTGACAAAACTGATTGATGGCTAAATGTCTGCTTGCATTGATCAAAACAACATTTTTGCAAAAACAATACAAAGTATTGTCACAATTTTGGTGCAGTTTTTCGGGCAAAAAAGGTCCATTGTCAGTAGTGTAATGATGTGAAATGCAAGTCACAGCAGCTTTCTGTTGGTCAACATGGCAAATCTGCATTACCAACATGAACATGAGTGAAATCTGTTTTGAGAACTTTTTCCAGATGATTGCACAGATTTCTATTGAAATGACTGGACTTGAGAACAGTACATTTGGCTGCTGCTTAATCCAAAGAAAGCAGAATGTTTTTTACTTGTACATTCATGTATATATTTTTTATTTGATTGTATTACAGCCCATGAAGTGTATTTTGTTTACAAAAAATAAAGAACTGTTGCTGTAAACCACACAAGGAAGTTCAAGGAATGGTGTCATGGAATGTTTTTCAGTTTTAATAGGTACAATAATGATAAACAGATTCACATGGCCCTAATTTATCACTTCCTGCTCTGGGACGGTTAAACAAACACGCCTCAAAGAATAACCGTCTGAAACATAAGCCCTGCGGTGACTGGTCCTGTGAACACGCTCACACCCACGTAAACTGATCCACTGTGTGTGTTTTGTATATGGATGATTTACCAGTTTCCTACTTCCAGGTGTTTTTTTATTAAAATAAACTAATGTTAAGATGTTCATTATTAAACCATGAAGAGAGAAGGAAACTATGAAGCGGGAAGGAAATAAAATATGGGTCAACAACTGTTTGTTTGGAGCAAGGTGAAATGAGTCAAAGACAATTAGTTGAAAGTTCCCAGTGTATGCTTTATTATGCAATAACTAGTCCTGTATTGTCATTTGAAATGCAAGTCTTTACATCAGTTGTATCTTTCAGGGCAGAAGGCATTTTAGGCTGAACCAGTGCAAGAGGGAACACAGTCTTTATCACACAAGGACAATCAGCACGACATGATTCAGATCAAACCTACTGGTCACCAACAGAGATAAAAAAACCCACCAACATAGTATTCAAGTAAATTTAAAGAGAAGTCTTTGAAATTGTGATAATGCAAGCAGAAAGCTTTGTAACTGTTGATGTTTTGTATAATAGTAATAATAATAATAATGTTAACATCATCCTAAAATAATATGCAAAACGGTTGTGAATATTTCCATCACTGTATTAACAAACAAATAAAATGTACAATTTACAACAAATCAACTGACCAAAAAAAAAGAAAAAAAGAAAAGAAAAAGAATTATGTGTAACGCAGAACACCACACTGATGGCATATGAACAAAAAAATAGTCCGAACAAAAGGACATTCTGACAGCCATAGACACTACCTTGCAGCAGTTCAAACTGAATTTCAAGTCTTAATATGTCATTACATTTTTGACCCTTTACCCATTTTCACAGAGTTTAAAATAAAACAAATTTAAACAGCAGACAAACAGCTTCCAAGCTTTCAGATGCCAGTAGTACATTGCTGTCACACGATCAGGTACATAAATCACAAATTCATTCAATCAGTCAGTCATTCCATGGATAATGATTATCATATGCAGTGGCATTGCTTTTACTTTCTGGACCGTCTAACAAACTGGTACTTTAGTATAAAACCCAAACATTTCATCCATTTAAGTGCAAAAGAAGCAGACCCAGGCCTCCCTCTGAACATGTCCGGTAGCCCTTCAGATCATGACATCACAGTCTTTCACAGTCACATGCTGATTAATCACATACATTATGTCCTGCTTTATCTAAGCCAAGATGTATACTATTCAAAAGTTTTTTGTCTGTAAGATTTTTTACTGTTTTTGACAGAAGTCTCTAATAATTTATTCCTGTGCAGGCAAAGCAGCCATTACTCCAGTTTTCAGTATTACATGATTTTTGTTTTATTATCATCAAATGTTAAAAAAGGTTGTGCTGCTTAATTTTTTTGTGGAAAACATGATACTTTTTTTTTTTCAGGATTCTTTGATGGATACAAAAAAAAAAAGAAGCATTTATTTAAAATAGAACATTTTTTAAATATTATAAAAGTCTTTATTTTCACTTTTGATAAATTAATGGATCCTTGCTAAATAAAAGTATTAGTTTCTTAAAAAAAAAAAAAAAATCTTACTGACCCCCAACCCTTACTGACCTGGTAACGTATATATAACATCTTATGACATCACTGCTGACCTCACCTAATAATAGCTACGTGTGGATTACGGCCATGTTTTAAATGACTTTTTTCGCCCTACACAAATCTATTTCTTTAATCTTAGCTGCAGGCCATCTGGCCTGCCTCCTTTTTAGTTAAAGTCTCCACCGAAATGCATCCTGACGTACCCCCTCCCTTGTAGAGGTTTAGTAACACCACGTTTTTCATTTTACGTTTTTTTTTTTTCATTTGAAGGCCTCCTCAGTGCAATCATCACAACCCGCTCTTTACATAAAGAGCTTTATCGGGCCATTTATAACACCGCAATACACACATACCCTGTTTATATGTGATAAAAGAGCTTAATGTGTCTCTTAGGAGGAAAATGTGGAATAATATAGTCAAAAATACGAGAAATGCATTATATAAAAAAATGCCAGGCCTAGATTTCATAATCACATTCACAAATATCACAAGAAAAGATACAATTGCTCTAAAGGAATCATAGTTGCAAACAAAATGACTATTAACAAACAAACAAAACCCTACCTAATAAAGGCTCACCTGATGTTTTCAGAACAAGAAAGCCGACGCATAGAGGGAGGAGCACGTTGATGAAGAGGCAGCCTGATTGGTTGATAAGCCTTTGATTGACAGTAGCACTTGACTCCCTCCAACTGTTCATTAGCCTGGAGGTAAAGCTCAATAAAAAAGCATCAAAGCAGAAGCTTTTATGAATATGATGTACAGGCTGCTAATTGGCACATACTGTATAGATTCTACCACACTGTACCAAATCAGCCCATTTAAAACACCTACTTACATAAGGTATCCAAATCATTGGTCGAACTTTATTTTGACCAATCACCTCTCATATGCTCTGAATGTAAAGAAAAGGGGGGATTCTTGACGCTGGGCGTTGTACTTCTCTTCTTCTTATATCACCGTGCCACGAGCATCACTCAGCGGAGCGCAAATAACCGCTGCATCTGAGATATATATCAAAGGTCTTTGGTTACAGTAGATGACATCCAGTAGACAAAGCAAGGTCTGGAAACAGCCGTAGACAGCATGGAAATAGCGTAGCTTCATCCAAAGTTACGTCACTGAGTGTAAATATTAATATTTCATGTATATTTCACACATATACAAACCATCATGTAGCTTAGTGCAGTGTAGAGAGGCTTGTTAGACTAGAAGTGGGGAGAGAAAGCACCAAGTCACGCGTCCTTAGCGGGAACAATTTCAGCTGCTGCTTAGGCACTTGGTTTTGGAGTGTGAGTTTCTTAGACGTAGTCAGTCAGGAAATGAAGAGAGGAGCTGTTGGAGATTTCGGTGGAATCTCTAGCCGAGCAGCTGGGCGGCTTCGCCTCAGTGTAGGTGCTGCTGGTGCCCCCCTCCCCCCAGTGCTGTAATCCAGTGTCACTCCATGATCAGGTGCTTCTACACAGCACCTCTGGAACTGCAAAGCAAAGGAAGAGAACATTTAGGGATGCATTCTTTAAACAATTGTGCCACTTTCACACATACTTCTTGGTTCTTTTGCAAATGGTCAAATCTGATGCATTAGTTCAGGCAGTGGAGTCATTATCTGGAGTATCTACTGTACACTGGTTGCTATAGTAATGATGTAGGCGTCAGCAAGATGCCAAATGACTTTCTTTTACAAAGGCTGAGTATCAAGCTGTCAGTATAGAAAGAGGAGGAAAAATTGACATTTTATGGACACATCCCTTTGAGCCTTCCGACAAATTCTGCAAGACAAAATTGAATATTTTAACTATGGTCCGAAAAATAAAAAAAAGGTTTAATTGAAATCCAAACCACATACTCTATGGATATGATTTGGAAATGTTTTTGCTATTCAGTCTACCAATAACTAACTAGATTTCAGTCAGATATGCCTACACAGATAACTTTAATATAATACATAATTCCCAATCCTATGAATTATGAGACTTTAAAGACCAAAGTAAAAATCTATGAAATTAAAACTTATAATAGTCATCATCAGTCATTAAAAAGTAATGGCTGCATTTATTTGATCAAAAATACAGCAAAAACAGTAATAATGTGAAAAATGACAATTTAAAAGAACTGATTTTTATTTAAATTAAATGTATATTTTAAAATGTCACATATTCCTGTGATGGCAATGCAAAATTTTCAGCAGCCATTACTCCAATCTTCAGTGTCACACGATGCTTCAGAAATCGTTCTAACATGCGGATTTAGTGCTCAAGAAACATTTATTATTATTAGGATTTGTTTGATGAATAGAAAGTTCAAAAGAACAGAAAATCTATGAATTTTTTTTAAACAAACAAAAAAAGAAAAACAAGAAATGATTATTATTTATAATAAAATGCATTGCTTTACTATTATTTTGCTATATTTTACAGATTGTATTTTATGCATTTATTCGTTTATAAAGTAAGTATTTAGAAAGCATACTAACCTTTGAAAACATCAGTAGTTGTGTGTATTCTTTGAAGTATGGTGTTATTTTCAAGGCCATTTGGCATACAGTGCTGTTCTGTAAGATTATACTTTTTCTGATGGTGGGCTGCAACAAAGACACAACTCTCACCCCCATCTGTTCCTTACCGTCTTTCTCTCTACTTCAACAGCCTTGATGCAAGTGTGTGTGTGTGTGTGTGTGCATGTTAGCATGGCTGCAGCAATGTGAAGCACTGTGAGAGCGAGGGTGGAAAAACATACTCGCAGAGTTCCTGAGACGGCATCCCACATACAGTATCTTATCTCCTGGTATTGCTGCTGGTGGAGCCCTTTGGATCTTTGATGTTCAAATTCTCATAAACACCAGAGTCATCGTTCATTCTGTGGAAGAGTTGAAAAGATGCGTGTTACTGAAATAAAGAGGACTGAAATTACACCTATTCGATTATAGGGGTCAAAACGGATGTTCCAAAATCGAAACTGACACTGTTACAAACACATTTTATGACTTGATGTACTGTATGTAGTTGCATATTGTGTTTATTGTTCTAGAACAACTGACTCAGAGCAGCGTCAGAACCCTTTTGATGGAAAATGATTCACTTAGCAATAAATACATTTAGAATTGAGGAAGTGTAGGAGATAGTACAGTTTACCAAAAGAAACTCATTAACTGTTTTCCCGTAACAACACTGTGTGGGCCATTTTTCAAAGTGTGTGTTTGCGTGCACAACAGGAAATCAGCACTTACACAGATGAAGAGCAAGACGAGCTCATGTTTGGCTTGGCTCTGGCATTTGACATCTGTGGGTACTTGATGTTAGAGTACTCTCTCTCCTTTGTTTTATTCCTCTGCAAAAGAAAAAAAAAAACAAGGAATCTCAAACTTATGCATTTTAATTTATATAAATAAGGGATGTCAAATATTTAAATTCCTTTGTACTTAAGTTAATCAATTCAGTTAACCATTTCAATCAATTCAATTAAGTCTTTTAAAAAAATTAATCGGATTGGATTTGGATTGTTTTTTTTTTTTACTGTATTTTTCGCCAAATAAATGCAGCTTGGTGGGCATAAGAGACATGTTAATGTTAAATGGTAGTGTATATGCATACTGTATCCTACAAACGGCACTAAAAAAATTAATCGGATTGGATTTGGATTGTTTTTTTTTTTTACTGTATTTTTCGCCAAATAAATGCAGCTTGGTGGGCATAAGAGACATTCAAAAACACTGAAAAACCTTACTGACCCCAAAATGTTAAATGGTAGTGTATATGCATACTGTATCCTACAAACGGCACTGGAGAAAGCTAAATTTATGCAGAAGTTCTCTTCACTTTTCTCAGTTGCACAAAAAAGTTTTAATATCAAACTCATCAAGTAATTATTTTTGATCAACTTTGACAGTCCTATCAGTGAATATGTCTTATTATTATTATCAGGTGAAATGAAGTATGTAAATACCTGCTCCTCTTCCAGTCTCTTCTGAGCGGTGTCAATGTATTGCTGAACAGCCATGTAGATGAACTTGTACTGGGCCTCGGTCTGAACCATACCGGATCGTTGCTGGCGCACTCTCTGAATGGTCTTTGGGATGTCGATGTCACAATCCAACCCTTAGAGATTCAGTTCAGTTGTGTTATTTTTTATCATCAAGAGGCATAAAATTCAATACAGAGATAATTTTGTATAAAACAGTTACCTTGTCTGTTTATGATATCAATAAGGATGTCAATTACAATAATTGTGCCTGTTCTTCCAATCCCTGCACTAGAATGACAAATAGAAGTTTAGATTATAGAGCACACGATGAGGGAAAATGTTGTATTTTTAAACAACTGTGTTGACACCTGATATAATCAACTCAGTTCAGCAATTCTTTTTTGTTATGGCACTCTCAAAACTACATTAGTCAAAGGGATAAGTGAGGTGTGCTATACCTGCAGTGAACCACTATTGGTCCACTCTCTGGAATGGCACTCTGGGTTCTGTTGACTTGCTCCAGGAAGCTCAAGACTCCTCCAGGTTCATTGGGAACACCGTGATCTGGCCAGCTCAGGTACTGATAGTGCCAGATACACCTGGGAGGCTCTCTCTTTATTACAGATGAAAAAAAAAAAAACATCAGATTATTAAACAAAATTAAGAAAAAAGACTGCATCTAAACTGGACTTGTACAAAAATTTTACATAACACGTCACTAAAGTAATGTGTAGAAGGTTCTCTCCAAGCTGCTACTGTAAACAAAAAGGTCAAAGGTCATGCCTGCCCTCCAGTACCATCATCTCAACTGTCATCAGAGTGCTCTTACCCTGTCTAGACGTGTGACTTCAAGCTCTCGCCGTATGTAGTCCTGAGCTGTGTGTTCCTCAATATTCTTCACACACACCTTCCCAAACTCCTTTGTTGAATTTAAGTCCGGCCAGTACCGCACACACTTATTCTATAGATAGAATTTCAGTTTTCAGTTACAAAAAATTATTTGTGTTGTACATTTAGTTAAATAGTGATGTTTTGAATTTAAAACGGAGCACTAAACTTCTCAAAATAAGCATTAAGAATGTTTTCAAATTTTGAATTACATTTATTTTTTACCTGTTTTTTTTTTTTTTATATTTAATAAAAATAAAATGTTAAATGAACTAATAAAATGTTAAATGAAACGTTAAATTAAGACAATACAATTATTTTTATTTATTTATTTATATTTTTTACATTTTGCAATTATATGTGCTGTGCATTTTTTGATCATTTCAGAGAAAATTGTGAGATCTTGTGAATTTAATTTCATAACCAACAAATCTACAAAAAACAAAAAAACAACAACATTGTTTCATCCAGGGCTGGACCTCACCCGTCCTCTCTCCATCTCCTTAGTTGTCATGACAATAACATGAGTGTTTTCCTGGTACACCATTTTCCAGAAGTCTACGACAGTGTTCTGAAGGCAACCCTGAGTGGCGATAAACACTTTACCTTCACCCATATGACGACCTTCTTCATTCATGCTCTAAATGAAAAAACAATCAATAAGGACTATACAGAACATACAGATTATAAAGAACATACAGTGTGTACAATTATTGATCACAGTTCCAGTAACCCAGCAAAAGCTTGACATTTAGATTGACATGTAAGCGTTATGAGTGAAGCGGGGGGATTACTCCGATATAGTTAGCGTTGATGTAATCGGAGCCTGGCACGTCAGGATCCGCCTCCTCGATCTGCACTCGAGTGGTGTCAACTGCAACAGAGAAAATGATGATCAAAGCAGGAACAAGAGCCCTGGAGATACCTGTTGCTCTATCATTAAATAATGAAACAGATCTGTCCATTATGAAACCTGAAAAATAATGTACATAAAAGAGAGTAACTCACATGGTAGTATGTTCTTATATCTGTTCTTGTTTTTATTTTCTGGTTTCTGCCCCTCTTTCCTGGGGTAAAGGAGTTTACATTCTTGCTGCTGTAAAACCTACAGAACCACGGGACAAGATAAAGAAAGTAAGGATGAAATGTGGTTCCACGTACCAAGTAATGAACCCTTGAAAAGTATTCATTCTAACTTTGCTGTGTAATGAGATGTTATGTTAAAGTCAGCACCCCCTGCAGGAATGTCCCATTTATCTAGACAGTTACCGCCCAACAGGAACTGCAGCTTGAGAGGTCAGCAAGCAGATAGTCTTTCTATAAACAACTCTCATATCAAACACTCCTCTGAGGTTTAATGCGTGTACTACAACGGAAAGTAAGCTGTCTATTCTTTCAAACAAAACCTGGACTGAATCATCACATCCCATGATGAACAGAAAATATGAGTAGAAGAATGAATATGGACAGAAATACCTCAAATTCTTCCCAGAAGCCTTGCTTGGGTTTCTCCGAGTTGTCAGCTACTTTATTTAATTCTCGTACCCTGTTTTCAATGTTTGCTGCATTTATCCTTGTGGCATTGAATGGCTGGTACATAGAGAAAGAAAGATAAAAAACAACAACAAGAAAATGTAAAAAGGACCTTAAATGTAATTATGAGGGTTAAAAGAGTGGCATTTAATTAAAAGGATTAAAGCACAAACACACTTCAAGCTAAACATTTAAAACAAAATATTTATACAGAAATGTTAGTTAGGTCATGTTAGGTTTCAAAAAACGATCCAATATGCTCAAAAAATTAGTATTACTTTTTTTAAATGTTTTGAAAGAAGTCTCTTATGCTCACCAAGGCTGGATTTGTTTGATATTATATTGTGAAATATTACAATTTAAAATAACTGTTTTATATTGTAATGTATTTTCAGCAGTCATTACTTGAGTCATTTTTTAATAGAAAGTTACATTAATTAAATAACTGAAATTGAATTATTTTGTAACATTATAACATAACATGTTTTTACTGTCAATATTTGTGATCAATTTAATCAATCCTTGCTGAGTAAAAGTATGAATTTTTTTGTCCAAAAATAAAAATAAAAATCTTACTGACCCCAAGCTTTTGAACGCTAGTGTATATTATTTTGCATACATATACTTCGTAGTAGACATCCTTAACTCCTTTCTGCTGTCTGTTGTCGGTGTTTCTTTGTCTGAATATGGTGCTTATCACATGCTGTGTGGTATCGGCGTTTGGTATCGGGTCATTTTAACGAGTACGAGTACAGGAGACCAGTATCGGGCCCGATACTGATACCAGTATCGGTGCATCCCTATTATTTTGCATAATTGTTTTTTGCATTCATAATTCACTGTTTGTGTGGAAAAAATATATTGCTTTCAGGCTTAATTTACTCACCTGTTTAAGGTGTACAACAATTCCACTCTTCTCAACCATGGGGTTTTTCTTATAATGCTCCACTAAATCTGCCAAAGTGTCAAACCTCTCCCCTCCTCCTACATCATATTTTCCATCCTGGTAGAAGAGATCAGAATATCTCTTTAAAAAGGCTGAGCTTTCTGTTCTTGAGAAAATGCTGAAGTTTTATTCCATATTTACCTGATAACGGATCATGACATGGGTAACTTTAGTCTTGCGGTCTAAATTTTCATGCTTTTCTTCATTAGTGAGGACGGAAAGCACAAAGTCTCCCGGTTTACTTTGGCTCTCTCTCACCAGGAAGCTGCCGGATTTGCCCTTCTCCGTAAGGAGCTTTTCAGCATCTCTCCCTGAGAGATGCCCATGATACCACCTGAGAACAGGTAAAACACAACAATGAGGCACAGAAATACAAATAGTGTTTTTCTTAAATGCACCGAAATTTTTTTTTTCCTGTGGTGGTGAATCTGAATTTTCAGCAGCCATTACTCCAGTTTCCAGTGACACACGATCTTTCAGAAATCATGAATGAATTCCTTCTGGAATAAATGATCTGTGTTTTGAAATCTATTAAATAGTAAGAATTCAAATAGTAAAAAATCAGCAAAAACACAACAATCATAATCTCTGCATCTAAACACACATGTTCCATGCAATGTTTCATATGCAAACCTTCTCATCGTAATGTAAGTGATTAATAATGGCTGCCCCACCCCCCACAAAAACTTGAAATTTTTTACTTGAAATGCACATTTCCAACTTTCACTATAGAAACTATAGTGTAAACTATAGTTTGTGGTCAGAAAATGAACAAATGTAAAGACGGTGTGAGCTGTCATGATATGAGGATATGTGTGGGAGGCACTCGCTCACAAACTGGAAAAACCACAAAAACAAACCATATATTACCTTTGAATGTAAATATGATGTTTTTCATCGATAATGCTTTATGTATAGAAATATTTCACTTTGATTTCACAACCTAGAGGATGTTGCAGCCCTATAAACACCAAACCCAAATATGTTTAGGCGAAGGAAGTTACAAAGTACACTAGACTCCAAAATGAGACTGGACCGCTAACACATAAACATCAAACACAAACAGAATCAGTGAAGGACCTGCTCCACAGTGCTAAAACAAACTGGTAGTCATGAAATCAAGATAAGCACAGTAAACTGCTGACAAACAAACCACAGCCTGACGTGCCATCAGTCTGCTACTCTTCCTTTCCAACGATCAGCCCTCTCTGGGGTTTGAACACTAGGGGGCAGGATTTCTTCTGCCCAAACTGATGCCACTGTCAAGCTCTAAGTGCTCTGGGTGGATCTGGAGGTGCCGTACCTCTCAGACGTCGGGTCTTTGCAGTTGAGGGGGTATTTCAGCTCGATAACATCTCCATTGCGTTCCCGCAGGAGGTCGTGCTGCTCGGTGTAGTACTGGACCAATTCAGCCAGCGTGGCGAACTTCTCCCCTCCGTACAGGTCATAATAGTCCCCCGAGTTCTGGATTTTAATATGGGTGACCTCATCGTTCCTCCTGCCCAGAACAAACAGATGGGACACAACAGGGAAAATGGAAGGGAGGGAGGACATGAGGGATGACAGACAGGATGGAAAAGATGGAAAAGACATAACAGTTAGGAGGTTGGCATTAAAAACTGACACGTTAAATGCTGATGTAAATATTTTACAATGGTACAGTTATTTAGCAGACATAAATGAGGTTTTATCAAAATAGCAAGAGTGACTAATAATAGCCTTTGAAGCATCAATTACAACAGGCTGACAATTATAAACAAATTCAAATCTGTGTGTAAATCTGCACTGTAGGCCATGATTTACCAGCAAAAGCTTTTATAAATTTAGATAGCCATCATAAAATTACATTTTAGCTGTAAAATATGCAGCTATCATTGCAAATTAATTAAATTGTTTTATTTTCTTATTTAAAAACAACAACAATGTGAAATGATAAAAAAAAAGGTTAAAACAATTAATCTCATGATCTTTTGCAGTGAACATCATATTCAGTTCCTTTTAAATTAAAAATACAGTAGTAATGCGAGTTAAAAGGAACATAGCTGTTTGGATGGATCTTTGCAAACACTGATAATAATAAATAAATAATAATAATAATAATAGGTTTACACATTAGTTAAGTAACAGAACTTCAGAAAAAAAGAAAATAATGCTCAATTTATATTTGAGAAAAATGCTAAGACACTGTGCTTGAAGACATTCTTATCTACTTAGACATATGTGTATGACCTTAGAGATTTGGAAAAAAAGGGGGTTGAAAACCGAGGGACAAAGTGTTTTGGAGCGACCAAAATCACAAATAGAATACACTTAATGGAAAATTACTCTCAGTAGACTTCAGGTATACTGTCATCAAAACCGTCAAAAACTGCTCTGCAGCTTTAAATGGCAGCGTATGGAAAAAGCAGAAAGGAACACCTGCATAGATATAATCAGCTGTGCTCAGGCACAAAACCACAACTTAACGCTTCGTGAGCAGATCATGCCTACAGCAATGCAGCTCAAACACACACACACAAAAACTACAGAAAAACTAAAGCAAGTGAAAAACAGCAACCGATCTAATATGAGACCATGATTCCTCTCCCATTTCATTTCTCTAGCTTTCTCTAGGCATTCATTGCTCTATCCATCACTGGCCTGGCTCGTGAAATTGCACTCTCCACTGTGTAATTGCATTATGGAGGTAACAGAGGAGGCAGAGCAGCACGGTGTCTCAGCAGTGTGGGGCTAATGGCTGCTTGCTGACTGCAGCAGATGAGAAGCTCTGTGCTCTGGGTCCGCTTGGGCTACTAATGCACACACACACACACACACACACACACACTAAACTTCATCTAAATGAAGTCATACTGTACACTTTTATTGTTTTTCATAATAATAATAATGATGATAAATCTGTGAATAACATTATAAGAAAACAAATATTTAAAAAAATGTAAATAAAATAAAATTATATATAATTTTTTTTAATTAAAACTGGAAAAATATATCTAAGTGAAGTCTATAAATTATGTTATTTTATAACAGTGAATAAAATAAAAACAAAATGACATTATATTATATTACATAAAATAAAATAATTTTATGAATCATTTTTACAATTGAGATGTCTCTGGATATCCCCAAAAGCTAACTTGTGGAGACATTTGTGGAGACAACTGCACTCCACTTCCCCTAAAATATTCGCAAACATAAAAACCTTATCTTACTCTCATGCTCATGTACTTTCTGAATTTGATAAATATCAAATATGCAAACACAATGGAAACACATTGAACTTTCTCTTTTGGTATCGCATATAACAGGTGCACTAAATACAAAATATTGAATGTAACTGCCAACTTGCCGTTCTTCTGGTATTTTTATTGGTTTTTATTTTTATTTAATTATTTTATAATAGACTTATAGCACCCTGTCAGATTCCTTCAACCCAAATGTAAATGTTCAGAATGTGTGAATGTGATTCAATCATTTGCATGAGGCTGAACCATGTTCAGAGTCAGAGTAGAATGACTGAGCTCTGGCTACAGTCAGATTCAAGGATGCCTGCTGACTACTTTTATCTTCGAGCATGAGTTCATCATTGATTTTCCTGCTAAAGCCAGCCTCTGCAGAAACCAAGAGAGAAACACAATACTGCAACTGAGCTCCTCTCCATGTCCACGCTTAAAGGTGCAGTCTGTCACTGTAAAATCACTGTTGCTGGAGCAACAAATGCTTATGAATGAAGAGCATCAACGTGTCTGTGGTCATTCTTCTTTGTTAGAGAAACTCTGGGATGAATTTGGCAGTGGTGTTCAGCTATTTTTCTACCAAATTACACGTCTTTCCTTAACACAATCAAGTGTTGCACTTAGGGCCCAAAAATAACACTCGCCAATTGCCAAATGAATGTAAAATTGACTTGGGTGAGTAAATGAAATGAGTGAGTTACTCACCAGTAACTTTACTAGGAACTGCAACATAATACACGGTTTAAATCTAATTTTAAGTATGATAATCAGAATCTTGCTGATGTAAGTAACACAAGGCAAATTGACTATAAAGGAAAACATCTGTTGAGTCTTATAACAACTTTTACCTGGAAAATTTACCACTAGAAGGTCATCTAGGGTGCCTGATATTTTTTCTCCAGAACTCCATGTGGCGGCACATATGCAGACAATTTTTCACATTAGGCTCCCAAAACAAAAAATATGATGAACGAAATCATGTGATTCTTCAAATGTCCATATTTTTGTGATGGAGAGATGGAGAATATCTCATCCTTATAGTCTATCCTATATATATATATATATATCATATTGAGCACATGTCCTATTGATTGGACCTAATGGGTTAAACAATTCTGTTTACAAAAGTGTTGTACAACTCATCAGACTGTCAAACATACATTTGCCACCAGGGAGTTGTGAAATAGATGTTTGGCTGCAAAACAATCTTCTACAAGGTTGCCTCAGGTTACACAATACAATGCTATACAATTCCATAGACTTTCACTTCACATTCTCTTCACACTGAGTCTGGATTGATCGTCACTAGAATAAAAGTCACAGTGAAAGACCGTATGATTAGACCGTATTTATCATTTAAAGCAGCTAAGTTATATATTTATGCAATGGTCTTCTCACATGTCTTATTGTGTGATTGTTTGGAGTCAGGTCTCTCAATTGACTATCAAACCTGTTAGATCCCTATATAAACAAACCTTAAAAATTTTAGACAAGAAATCAATCAGATGGCATCATTGCAACATTTTACAAAAATACAGTTTGCTTAGTTTTGACAATTTTATGAATCTGTCTCTTAATATCTTATTAAATGGTTTTTAAATGTGTCAATAAGCTTGCTCCAGATATCATATGGCAATTAATAGTAAAACAGACCTCCGTGAAGGCACCTCATAAAGAGAAATAATCACCAAAACTATGCCAAACAAACTGCGCCGATTTGGAGCGATTTGGGCAACATGGGGTGGAAAGTGATGTCACACGGTCAAAAAATATCTCAAACACCAAACCAGCACAAACGTTCATTTTTGCGGCACACATCAGCACAAACGAATGGCATAGTTTTGGTGATTATTTCTTTTTATGGGGTGCTAACTTCACGGTGGTGTAAATCAGTGTAATAGAGGCATCACTACAAGAGGTGCAACTACACAGAACTGCATAGTGCCTAAGAGAAAAACTAAATTTGCTCAATCCACATTTTCAGTTAAAGGGACACTGCTTTGGAACAGTTTGCCAGTTGAACTGAAAATGCAAACGGAATTGAGCATCTTTCTGAGAAATATAAAAAAAATGGTTCAAACAAAACCAGGTTTGTGAACATTGATGGTTGTACACAGTCTTAGACTGTTGTTACGTTTATTGTACTTGTTATTTTGCATTCTTTATGTAATATTTAATTGAATTTTAAAAGCCTAACCTGGGACTGGGGCTGCAAACTAGCCATTGGCTAGAAGCCTGTATGTAGAGCATCTGTAATGTTATTCTGCATTGTCCCTGTTAAATAAACAACCAAATAAATAAAAAAGTTTAACCCAAAGTAGTGCATCAAACTATGCTAACTATTGTGAATGTGAAAACAGTTTCAGAGGGTCACTTCCTTTAGCCTGCTCCTGACAGCCATAACAGCCGGACAGGAAACATCGCCTAACACATTTCACCTGGCCCTGACACATCATACGTTACACTGCAGCGCAGTGACTCGGCTCCCAGCATTCTGTCTGCTACTTAACAGTTAACAATAGAGCAGACGCTGAGCAATAGTTTCCACCCAGGAAAAATGGTGAGAGACAGATAAGAGAAACAGAAGCATGGAGGAGGGGAAGATAATGCGATGGAATCCCTAGGTGTCCATTTGCCAATATGACTCCTCCCTTTATCCCAATAATGCATTTTAAGGGAAGACTTTTCCTCATAACTTTGTAATTATGGTCTTATATACATTATCTACATTAGGCCTGAGAGGCAGAATGGCAGTGAGGCGACTTGTTTTGCTTTCAGCTGATATCTGCATAACTCTTGTGCTGCTGATGCATTAGGTCAATTTTATGCTTCTTTATCTACAAATTTGCTCACTACATTCCAAACACACTTGCTATGAAATATTATTTGATTATTATTGTTATTGTTATTTATTTATTTATTTGTTTTACTGAGTCTACTTACTGTAAGCCATGATATTTGTCACAGATATCAGCTGCTAGTTATTATTGCGAAATAAATCTTTAAAGGGTAATCAGGACCCTGACATGAATATTAATTTTAGTAAAAAAAATCATGTTAGAATACAGAGAATGATAAAACCTCAAATGACGAATCAGTCGTTTGGACAATGGTCAAAACTCTGTATATTGGTATGGTAAAACCACCAGTTTTTTATAAAGCGAACAGTAAAATAAAAGTAAAAATTGTGTTTTTTTTGGTGTTTTGCAATTCCAATACACAGAGTTTATCATTCAAATAAATAAATAAACACATACATAAATAATGGTCAAGCAAATGACTCTTTTGGACTTTTTGGGGAATTTGAGATGGAATGACCCCTACATAAATAGGAATGTGGGTCAAAAACAAGATTAAATATTATGCAAAAATCTTAAAAATCAAGTATAATTTCTGCATTAATTCTGCAAGTGGAATTACAAATATAATACAATTCTGTTTGAACAAAAAGTTGTGGGCAATTCCAGAATTTAACAGTTCTGGGAAAAAAAAATCCAAGATGGTGGATGATTTCATTTAACATTGTTAAATATAAATAAAAGTTCAAAGTCTGCTGATGTAAAACTCTAATAAAACCAAACGAGAGTTGTGGAGCGTTATTTGTGTGCCGCACAGAGTTGCAACCTATACAGTGCGTTCCAAATTGTTCACTTATGAGGTTTCATGATAGTTAAGAAGGCAGCTCCTTGTGTAGGCAGTAGGGAGCTCACTAGGATTTGGAACAGAGGTGTGTCTGTATTTTCCAGTAATTTGGTGCTGAAAAGCACAAAGCATGTGTCCAACAATACACTACTCAACAGCCTTCCCTATTAACTTGTGTATATACCATGCATCTGATAATCAGAACGAGCTGACCTCATCGCTTCACAGCTTGCCAGATAAATCAGTCTACAGGCAGCTGGGCTCCGGCCCGGAGCCCTTGAAGGCTTGTGGTGGAGCTGAGCCACGTGGCCTGAGTTCTGGAGAACATTAGATACAGTGAGAGTCTTACCACCATAACCACAAACAGCAGGTCTGGGGCTCCACAGCCTCCACATCTTAAAGCTATTATGAAAGTCTGTTTTTTTCTCTCTTTCCCCCTGTCCATCGACTCTCCAATCACTCATCGGACAAGCAGCTGCAGTGGCTCACAGACCTGCCCACAAGCTGACACTGTAATCCTTAAGCACCAGCCCAGGGGCAATTTAAAAGCCCTGAGGTTCTGGAAAATGTGAGGGAAAGTATTATTTATTATTGTCATCCATGTTCGAACTTCTAATACTAATGGCAACTAATAAAAAAACTGCTGTAATACTCAATGTGCTTTGACTCAATGCAATGCATTATGCGATAAAGCCAATGTTTTTACTATTTAGTAAAGATTCCCTATTGTGTTTGTATTTTATGAAGTAATCTCTTGAGTTTTCACTGCATGAAACAAATGTGGACTTGACATAGAAATCTATGACACAAACAAGCATTTTAATGCTTTACCAGGCATGGAAACAGCCAGCTAGACTAACAAGTACACTTCTAAGAAATCAATAACGCACAGATAAACATTTAACAGGAGAGAAGCAATTCATGCTAAACTTTACAATCCACAACAGGTCAAAACAACATAATGACCGACATAAGAGTCCTGTGGAATTAAATAGCAGAAGTGCAGCGGGGCAGATGTGGAGGAGTGCACACGACAGGACAGTAAATATGCCGACCTGACAGAGAGAGTGAAATCTCCTGGGTTGCTCTTGCTTGGTCTCGCTAGAAAGCTGCCATGGACTCCCCGTGTCAGGAGCAGGTGTTCTGCCTCGATCCCAGAGATGTTGGGATGAAACCACCTGAAATGAAAGCAAAATGACATGCTCAGCAAAGACATCAAGCTCTGATCATCAATAGCTAAGAAAGCATCTCATGATCAAAACTCATAAAAATATGCTAACACTTGTAAACATACAATGGTAGGCTAAAGTCTGACAAAGTCACTTATACAACATTCTCTTCTGCATTTCTAACTTTTATGCTTAATTTTTATACACTATTGTTGAAAAGTTTGGGGTCAGGAACATTTTTTTTCGACTTTTTTTCAGCAAGGACGCATAAAATAAATCAAAAGTGATAGTAAAGACATTTCTAATGTTATATAAATATATCTAAAATATATATGCATTTCTGCATCCCGTGGCTCTCCAAACTCTTTGGCTCCTCCCCTTTGACCCACCCATTCTAGTGATGTCATCAAGCAAGCTTATCCATAGGTATATTTGTGTACAATTTCAAGGCAAATGCCATTTCTAATCAGTTACGATTGCTGTGTTTGAAAAGTTATTTCCTAATCCTTCGGGGTTGATTGGAGGGTGGAAGGGGACGAGAGGCCATGTGTAATCTGGCTAGTGTTGAGCCCCAGCTGTCTGGCTGCCTGCAGCCCGTCTGTTCATACACCGGCTCCCTCACGTGAGAAGGCTTTGTGAATGGCCATCCAGGGGTCAGGAGTAATTTTATCTGTGTGCTGTTTCTAAGCGTGGCTGCCTGCTAGGGGCCTCATGTCTTAATCTCACTTTAAGTGACCACATGTGGGTCACTTACTTTCATCTTGACAGAACTGGGTGAATCCTGATCACACTGTATGATTGCTATTATATACATTACAGTACAAATGTTTGTGTCAGCAAGATTTCTTATAGTTTAAGTCTCTTCTGTTCGCAAAACTGCATTTATTTGATAAAAAATACAGTAAAAACAGTAATACTGTGAATAAAGCACAATTGAAAAAAAGTTCTTTTTATAATTCAGTCTTGTATTATTAAATTCTCAAGTGTTGAATTTGATAATACAAATTTTGAAGGTAATTCTGTTATGCATGAATTAAATGAATATTCAAGATTCAATACAAGTGAAGCAGAATCTGGCTCTCATTATTACAGAAAATAATTCTCAAAAACTCAGGTATATGTAGATAACATTCCCTTGGTGACAATGAAATCAGCAGAAAGGTACAACAAAAAGATACAATAGTACATTATAGAAAACAAATGCTTAAGCTTGCAAAGAAAAAAAACGTAAAATTTTTTTTGAGCACTTGAGATGGAACGGCCCATATATTAGATATGAATTTGGGACAAATACAAAACAATAGCATTGTGTGATGCACAGAGTTGAAGACTATGCATGTATAAACAAACATGTGCACGACAAAGAAATGTAAGATTTAGAGTCCTAGTGCATTACTGTGAACAACTCGAAATGTTCTTCAGAATGCCTCAAATGTTGTCTAAAGATTAACTTGTCTTAATGAACAGATGTGCGTATTACGTCTTACCCTGATATTGTGATTTTAAACTATCACTATTCTCCCTCCATCTTTCCACGCAAAGCAAGTGAGCATCACTCACTTCCTCCAGTTCTTCACTGCGGAGGGAGTGTTGTAGCACCCTTGACGTTGTATCATATCGTGGAGGCTACCTGTGAGCATTGGTAATCACGGTTTCACTGATCAGAGGGGATGCTGAGTGTTCTGAATCTCTTTCCTCCTCATCATGACTCACTGCTTCTTTGATTCTATGTTTGTCAAAAGGTCCATATTTTCCCCTCCTGTCACATCATCATATACATAGTCCTTAACTTCCCTATCTTTTGTAAAGTTTGCCACTAAAGCAAAAATATTAAAATGTATGTGGATTAATAATTAATTGACATTTCTGTCAGCACTTTTCCTCCTGACAGTGACTTTCAGAAAAGCAAGTCCAAGCAACTACGTCCTAGAAACAAATTTGTACGCAAATGTATGCACAGGTTTGTAATTGTAACAAAAAAGAATGTAAATGTGTTTAACTGGATACTCGCCAAGACGGGCATTTTGACAAAATTTTGTATGTATTTGAACGTTTTAGCGCAGTTAGCCACTCATTTTGGTATTTGTGGCTCACAAGCTGTTTGAGACTGAGCACGCCTTGTGCGCTCCACTAATATACATCAGTGGTGGTGCGCGCACTTTTGGTATAAGCGTGAAACCTGCGGGAATGACTAAAATAATGCGCAATACAAGCACTATTTAACCGGAGTGAATGAGACGTGTGTGAGAGAGAAGGGGTCGTCGGAGAGATGAGAGTGAGAATGCGCGGCTGATGTTATTGCCTGTGCCACTGGTAACAAAACGGATCGGCTCGAAATCGGAAAGAAGTGAGACTGACCGACCGATCACCGATCCAGGCCAATCACGAGGAAAATCGGCCGATTCCGATCCCTGGCCGATCGATTGGTGCATCTCTAGTAAAAACGCTTACCATAAGTGAGCTACCATACCATATTTAGTGAAAAAAATATTGTATATTAATATTTAACACAATTTAATAAAAAATACACATAATTATACTGTAAAACACTGCAAAATTCTTGGGTTTTGGAAGTAAAACATCCAAATTACCTTATAAATTATGGTAAAATATGTATAAAATTCAACAAGACAAGATATGAATGTTTACATTAAAATATTGCTAAAGTTATGATTTTGTAATGTAATTTTGTAATATTAAGTATTTTGTGTTTGTGTGTATAACAATGTGCACTGTCTATACATGTTTATTAGTTTTTGGAAATTACACGGTTTTAATTGTTTAATAACAGTATATTAACATATAAGATAAAAATGAAATAAATGATAATACCTTATGAAATTTATTGCCACCCTGTATGAGTTTATTTTTTACAGGGAACTTCTGATAACTTCAGCTGACTTTTTTATTTTATTTATTTTTTAACAGTGTACAGGGCATACACAAAAGAGATACTTTAATATATCTATAAAATGCCCAGTATCATAAACATGCCCTATACGTCATGAAGAACTGAAATAAAGATATAGCACTAAATGTGGTCTGTGCCATGTAGATAAACACGTCATCATACATTAGCTGATAATACATGCGCTCAATATCGGTTTTGCAACATTAAAGCAAAAGACCAGAATATTCTGTTTTAGAATATTTAACTGAGCCTAGGGGAGGACGATATGGCAAAAATATATCACTTTTTTTTCCCAGGAAAATCACAATTCATAATTTTATCACGATTCTTTGTCATATCAAAATATAAAATAAAAAAGATCAAAAAAAGTGGGTGAAGATAAAAATCTTTGTCATTATTTTATCTTTGTTATTAAAAAAATACGAACAAAGATACACATTACAAATACACATAATATACGAATAAAACAAACAGCGCTTTATTTTTCAGGTAGAGTAGGTGTATTTAGCTGTAGCATTCAAGAAATTGAATGAACAAATATAAAAATAGAACACTATATACCAGGGGTGGCGAACGTCGGTCCTGGAGAGCCGCAGCCCTGCAGAGTTTTGCTTCAACCCTAATCAAACACACCTGAACAAGCTAATCAAGGTCTGAACGGTTAATAGGAAGCTACAGGCGGCTGCGGCTCTCCAGGACCGGAGTTCGCCACCCCTGCTATATACACTTCACTGTATAAATTATCCTACATTGATTCTTACAGCAACTGTATTAAAATTGTTCAGTCAAGAGCAGTGAGTGATTTTTCTCTGTTTTGTTGTTTTATTAACATTAAAGCATGTCAGAAAGAAATGTTTGAAATGAAATGTTTGAATTAACCGGCAAGGCTTTAAAGCACATGCAAATAATGTACTTTTGTGATTGCGAAGTGCACTGTCCCGTGAGTGTAACTCTACCGCTGAGTTAACATTTGATGTGAATGTATGTCGTGTTGTACACTATATTGAGACGAAAGGGCCAGAACTGCAACTGATAGAATGTGCGCTCTAGCACGGTACTACGTTATTTCTTCAAAAGCAGATCGTGGAGACATTCAAATAATTCATTAGAATATGGAAAATGATGCAACCCACAAAAATATATTTTTGAAAAATATTTCTAGAACATCGAAGACTAAAAAAAGTCCAAAATTTGATTCAATTAGGTCTGCTCATTATGTGCGTGATTGGTAAACATCTTAGTAGATAATTGTGGGATTTGGGGTCATCAGAAAATAAATAAATGGAATCTTTATTTTGCATTGTGGAAAACAGCAGGTGACACTAATCCCAGCTAAGCTGTTATGTATTTTCATAAAACAATGATAGTGGGCTTAGTCTGACCCCTTAACCTTTCTTTTCAGTTCCCAAAACTGTTCACTCAGCCCTTCACAAAAAACATTCTCTGAAACTATAGGAACAGATAACAATAACTTCCCAATTTCACGATAACAAAAATAAAGATTGCACGTAGCAAAAAACACCAACAGGACAGGTTTCTCTTGTGATGGAGACCGTTTGGTCCTTTACTCGAACAGGAATGTACAGATGCAGACATTCAGGCAAGGATCTGCACGCAGGAACAAACAGCACCAGGTCACTTCTAAGCCTCACTGAGCTCCCAGCAGCTCTCCAGGAGCTTTCCTCCAGCACAACACACACAGCCACAACAAACCACAAACCATCCTGCGAAGTGCGCACACACTCCTGCACAAACAGCAGCACCGAAAGAAACGCGTAGCGCAATTGCATGTGAAAACGGCATAGTCCGGATACAAAATGATAACAGCAACTAATGCCTCATGTTCCTACCTCACCATTCTGTTCGGAGCCTGTCAGAGCCCCTGCTTTGCTTCAGAGTTTGGTAATCCACGCTCAGTACAGTTACACAAGGAGGGGGAGCAGGGACTTGTAGGAGTGCTGCTGGTTGGAAAGAGACGTGGGTGTGTTTAATCTGGGATTTGGATGCGTGTGAGCTGCCCTGATAGGAAAGCCAGCCAGTACAATCAGCTTTTGAGCAACTGTCCATCCCTCCTGCCTCCCCTTCCTCTCTTGCTCTCTCTCTCTCTCTCTCTCTCTCTGAACGTGACGCAGCGTTGCCATGCTGCCTGACACACTCTTACACCCCTTATCTTTATCTTTGCTACCATTAGGTTTAAATGGAGAGTGGCAGCTTTTGGAAAAAATAGCACTGCACATGCTGCACTCACCGATGAAGGCAAGAGAAAAGAAACGAAAACAAAACAAAACAGAAAAATGTAATGACATGGTACAGTACAGTACAAGATCATATTCAGAGCAGCTTGGGTATTTAAGCATACTGACAAACCATGGACATTTTGTATTTTTATTGTTTTATGGCATCAAATAACCATATTTGCATTGCAACAAATCAGTATTTTGGTCTCTTTTTTAGTAAAATTATCGAGCATGCTTCAAAACAAGGTACATGTAATTCTTGCATTAAGATAACACCAACTTTCAAAAGTTTGGGGTCAGTAAAAGTTTTGGTGCTTTTGAAAGAATATTCTTATGCTCACCAAGGCTGCATTTATTTGATAAAAAATACAGTTGAAAAATGATATTGTGAAACATTTGTTCAATTTAAAATTTATATTTTAATATATTTTAAGTTTTTGTTTTTCTTCTATTGCCAAAGCTGAATTTTCCTCCAGTCTGAAGAAATCACTTAAGAAATTTGGTGCTCAAGAAACATTTGTTATTATTAGCTGAAAATGGTTGTGCTGCTTAATGAAGTGTGGAAGATTTTGTAACATGATAAATGCGTTTTTTGACCAACTGAATGTGTCCTTTTTGATTAAAATACACTTAATTTAAGATACATACTCTGAAAACAAGCCTTAGTATCTTACACAATTTTGCTTCTCAAGTAAAGTTATCATGTTTTTTGGATGGTTCAATATTTTTTACTTGTAAACATAATGATTTTCAATCTTTCAATCTCTTTTATGAGATAAAGCTACTATAAACACAACAGTAACTAACTTTTAAGGGCATGTATACGTTTGAGGGATGATTTGCTCGTGCACTCGTGCACTTGCCAGCTTATGCAAACACTGTGCTCTGCTACTGTAGGTTGCATAAGTGAAAAATGCTTGCCAAGTAATGAAGTAATTCTGTAGCTAAATGACTGATTTTAAAAGAGATGGAGAATGCATGTGAATAAATTGTACTGGTCAGGCTTATGAAGCTTTTTTCTAATTACAGAAGAACTTTGGCACGAGTCACTATGGGACAGAGAGAATTAGGACAGACTGAGTGCCAGGAAAACACCAGGATTTCCCCAGAATGGAGCTGGACACAATATCATGAGTCCAAAATATTAAGAGTTTAAACCCTAAGCTTTAGTTAAAGCTGAAGTGTGTCATTTTATAATCGCAAAAAATAACATTGACAGGTTTCCCTGCCATCTGCCATTGGTTGGACAAACATACAGTTCAGACGCTCCAAATACACATCCCTGTTTGAGGCTTGAGCCAATGTTGCTATGCCAGGATGCTCAAAAAATAACACACCAATGTTTTCTGCCAAAGAGTCAGTTTTTACATTTTCAAGGAATCAACCTACAAATGCCTCACTTCTGTCCATCTCCACATCTTAAACTGGGGCACAAAGTATTTTAAGGTCAAAAGTGGCACACTTCAGCTTTAATTCTTATCAGTTCTCTTTAATGCTTCATCATGGAAGTAATATTGTCCTGTAACTTCCTTTTAAACCTTATACAATCTCATAAGGACACAATAAATGCAATCTGAGGCCATTAGTGTTATAATGGTCATATTAATGAATCCAAAGGAAGAGCTCTTCTGTTCTTTTAGCTTCCTCTTCGATAAAATAAATGCACGACTTTCTCCCCTGGTTTAATAATTAACAGCCATTGTCCAGCTTGCAGCCTGATAAAAATAATAATGAACTCTGGCAAAAAAACAAAAAAAACAAAATTCCAACAAGATGAACGAAAACAATAGACATTGAATGCAGTTTAAAAATAATGTAAAATTTTTAGTAATAGTAAAACCAACATGCAAATGAGATTCAAAATATCTGAAACATGAATGGCCACAGTCCTCTTTTGTCACATCCATATTGGCACATTTTGTTGAGTGACACCAGAGACTCTCTTTCTTATGATAACTTGGGGCACAAACGGGTTGTACAGTGAGGGCCAGAAAGAGAGAGAGCGAGTGATATCAGGCAGAAAGTGCTGCAGCAGTGTTCTGACAGGGGAAACACACAGGCCCACGCGCACACATTGAGCTGCCTCTTCCCTCTTGCATAATGTCTCAAGTTCAACACAGTTGGCTATTTAAAGCGGCAGGCTCGGTGACAAAAAGCGATATACATAGTACCCCCAACTCAGCTTCAAAGACCCCCTTGCATCTATATTGGGGGCAGACGGGCCCCTGTGACTGGATTTTGGTACCGTTACTGATATTTATAGAAAAGCTGATTATGCTGCCACATGTCAGTCTAGCGGTGACATGGTGAGTCAGTTCAAACACACACGGTCCTGGAGTTTGTCTCATTTGACTTCATCTGTTCATTAGCTTAAATTTATTTTATGATTTTAAATAATTATGGATGTTTTTAAAATACAAATAATTTGTAACATTATAAATGTCTTTACTGTCACTTTTGATCAATTTAACGCATCCCTGCTGAATACATTTGTGTTAAATTCTTACAACTGATAATTGATAATTGAGTTTGAAAGTGATTTCTGAAGGATCATGTGACACTGAATAATGGAGTTACAGCTGCTGAAAATTCAGCTTTGTCATCAAAGGAATAAATTCCATTTTAAAATATCTGAAAAATAGGAAACAGTTGTTTTAAACTGTAATAATATTTCATAATATTACTGTTTTTACTGTAGTTTTGATCAAATAAATGTAGAAATGTAAAGCATAAGAGAAAATATTAAACACACACACACACATAGTGTCAGATATGGGTATATAGGTGCCGCCCAGTTATAGCTATGAGACATTACGGCAGTGAATCTGAGTTAATTGAGTGTGAGTTCATTGATTAACAAAAGTCCCCAAGCACGTATATGTAAGGTCAAATCAATTCACATACATAACTATGGTACATACGCGGTAGCAGTCTCTCTCTCCCCTTACTGAGGGAGAAATATGTTGCCATTTTTGAACTTGCCCTGGGTTAGACCAAGGACACATGAAACAAAATCTAATGTCAACGATCATATTTAAATTCTTGACAGCTGATAACAACCCTTCCAATAGAAATAGCCTCCTGGAATTGGATTAAGACCTGGCTTTACGCCCTAAAATTGGAATCTAGGAGAAAAACAAATAAGCGATGATTTATGATATGAACAATGAAATGAACAACATCCATATACTTTAATACATTGTCTCCATAATCTTTATCATGAATATGGAGAAATTAATCTATATAATTAATTTGATCTGATGTGAAATAATTCCTTGATTAATAAATAATGTGGGTTAAGGGCCATGCTGAATAGCTGTAAGTCTACTGGACTGATTTTAAGGGTTCATTTATAAAATGCTAAATGATAATCATCAAGCAACCCATGATATGTAACACTTTTGATTTCAATTTTAACATAAATGTCAATATAACAAGGAAAATGTAAACTATGATGATCCTGGTGCTTTAAGATTAGAAATGGATGACTGAAAAGAAAAAAGAAAAAACGGTGTTCTCAGCAAACCTTTGGTAATGACTAGCAGAATTCCTGGAAATTTTGGACAGGCTATCTCATTTCACCACACTGAAGGCAGTTTTCCTGTCTGTGAATTTTTAGCACTACACTATCAGTCCTGTCCTTTCTAGTTTTAGACACACAAGTCAAACTCTCAGACATACTCACCCCAAATACAGACATACTGTTTTGTTTTGTTTTTTGAAAGAAATTAATACTTTTATTTAGCAAGGATGCATACAATTGATACAGTTTCTATTTCAAATAAATGCTGTTCAAATAAACTTTTATTCATCACAGAATGATGGAAAAAATGTATCACAGTTTCAACAAATATATTAAGCAAAAAAAAAATTCAGTTTGGTCATCACAGGAATAAATTACATTTTAAAATATATTAAAATAGAAAACTGTTACTTTAAAGTGTAATACTATTTCACAATATTACTGATTTTTACTGTATCTTTGCCTCGGGTGAGCATAAGAGACTTCTTTCAAAAACATTAAAAACATCTTACTGACACCAAACTTTTGAACATTAGTGTGGATGTAAATGGAGGGAAAAATTAGTTAACTTAAGTATTTTATAGCACTGTTTGCAAATTTGCTTATTAATTTATCTGTCTTTTAATGCTTTTTAAGTACAGCACTTTGGTCAACTCATGGTTGTTATTAAATGTGCTTTAGAAAGAAAGAAAGAAAGAAAGAAAGAAAGAAAGAAGTTTGGAAATTGACAACATGTGACTATTTTCGTGCAACCAAAATATTCATGACCCCATATATTCATGACCCCACAAAAATAACCACGCAATGAGCCATCTCTTCCTTTTTACTCTTTCCTGTACACGCTTACACACATGCACACAAAAGATGCTTTATGATCTAGAGAGGAAGAAATAACAATAATTTAAAAAAAAATGCAGCAGGTGTGCTTAGTGACCAAGAAAAGGTCTTCCACATTACATGAAGATAATAAAAAATAAATCTCTTTTGGCCTTCCCAGAACTAGGAGCAGTTTAAATGTTCTTTAAGGCAATGTGTTAAATATGCATGAACACTGAGCTAAGTAACTTTGTTAGCCTCCTCTATGCAAAACCTCTGTGAACAATAAAACATTTGTAAGCGTAATATATGTAAATCCTCTATTGAAATAGCCCAGGTAACTGCAAATCTGCAAAATGCACAGTTCAGGTCCCTGTCACTTTAGCACATTAGACAGATTCATCCTCTGTCATGTACTGTTAAGTGAGATCACTTTTCATACCAGTTAAAGGGTCATCATTTACTCACCCTCATGCTCTTCTAAAACTGTACGACCTTCTTTTTTCAGTGGAACACAAAAGGAGACGATCGTCTCA